AGGATGTGCACTAAATTTAAAAACATTGGTTATGTCTTTGGTAGGATGAACAGGATTTGGGCCAGCAGTTGTGGTACCAGGGTACTTTATATGTCTGCTTTATTTGAATACTATGTGATTTTTTTTAAAGAAAAATTATTGCTAAAAAAAGCTTTCATTCATTCAACAAACATTTATTGGATGCTTACTATATAGTAGGCAAAGATCTGAACATATAGACTGTACCCACAAGCTTATGTTCTAATATAGTGTTTTTCAAACTTTGGGTCATTGTCCTTTAGCAGGTTCTGAAATTTAAAATCATTGGGTCATATTGGCTTATAACCCAAAATATAAAATCAAATATCCATGAGTCCTTGCTGATACAAATGAATACATACATGCATACATACATACATACATGCATAAATAATGGAATAGAACAGATATCTCCTGTGCAGCATTCCAAATAATTTATGTAGGTACTTCTCCCTCAAAGAGATGGAATGTAACTCCCCACCCCTTAAATATGGGCTATGTAATGACTTCCTTCCAAAGAGTACAGTATGGAAAGGGAAGGAATACTTTACAGTAGAGAAACCTGGCAAAAACTACCTCAGCCAGGGGACCAGCATCAGTATCAACAGCAATAGGTCATGTTGGTAGTATATGCCCTTGATATGAAGTGATAAAATGGCCCATTATCTCTGTGGTCTTCCTCCCCAAAACTCATAACACAGTCTAGTCATGAAAAAAACATCAGACAAATCCCAAGAAGGACATTTATAAAATACTTGACCAATATTCTTCAAGCTGTCAAGGTCATCAAAAACAAGGAAAGCATGAAAAACTGTCAGAGCCAAGAGAAACATGACGATTCCAAAGAAACATAATGATTAAATGTAATATGGTATCCTAGATGGGGACCAGGGACAGAAAAAAGACATTCAATAAAATGTAAGGAATAAAGTACAGACTTCAGTTAATAAGAATGTACTGTGACAATATTGGTTCATTAATTATAATAAATGTCATACTAATATAAGAAGATAATAACAGGTGAAACTGGGTGTGGGATACATGGGAACTCTCTAAACTGTCTTTACAATTTTCTCTGTAAATCTAATACTGCTCTAAAAAAATCTATTTTAAAAAATATGGGCCACTGGTAGCATTTTTCCTCAACATTTTATGATGGTGGTTTTTAAATATACTACAAAACTGAAAGAATTTCACAGTGAATTCACATATACTCACAACCTAGATTCTAATATTGTTTTACTATACTTATTTTTTCATATATCTGACCATCTGTCCATCTACCTGTCCATTAATTTATCTTAGTTTTGCAGTGCACTTCAAAGTAAATTATAGATATCAGTACACTTCCCCCAAATACCTCAGCATGTATATAACAACTAGAGTATTCATTTCTTTTTATGTAAAATTTACATAATATATATATGCATGAATATATACATGAATATGAATGGAATAAATGCACCTATCTTTAATGTACATTTGGTGAGTTTTGAAAACTTTGTATGTCTGTGTAACCAAAATCCCTCACAACTGCATTTAATATAAAATGATATGTCATAGGAAATACTAGAGTGTAATACCCATAGTGTAGGTAAGTATTGTTTTGTGAAATTGTTTCAGATACCTGTATACTGGGTCACCATATAAAGCATTTCTCTTACCGTCACAATAAAGAAGTAAAAATCACTGGTCTGATAGGGGAGCTCAGCATGTAATCAAACAGTGATTATGTAGAGTAACAGATTTTGTTAAGATACAGTGATGAGTTCAAAGAAAGGAGTGTTCTTTGTGGTTAGAAAGAAGATATTGGGATAGTCTGGAAAGGCTTCACTGAGGAAGGGGTGACATTATCATAAGGACATTGGTCAGCATTTGGGTACATTGTGTGCCAACTGCTGAGCACTGTTCTAAAGAACATTACAAGTACTAACTCCTTTCATCCTCACAGCCCAGAAGGTAAGTCCTTGTACCTAGGACTGAATACAAAAAGGTTAGCTTGCCCAGAATCAGAAAGCTAATTAGTAGAGCCAAACAGAAGCTCATGCTTTTCACTACCATAATGTGTATGTGATATGGTATGTGTACTATATGTTTCTCAGTGAAAATTGATTTTTAACTTGGGGGATCCTATTTCAATCACTTTTATGGAGAAAAAAAAAGTTTTTGTCTGTTATTACCTTGGAGTGTGTGTGTGTGTTACAGTATTATGATTCTGGAGTACATAGAAACCATTTAGAGCTAGAAAGGATGTTAGCCATCATCAAATACCACTTTCAATTCTAGAAACTTCATACTCTACTGTTTTCATGCAGTGAATTGCTTGAAATTTTCCAAATTAATTGTGCAGCAATATAATGGAAAAAGAGAATATTGACTTGTTCATTCCCAAAGCTACCTAAAGTTGATGCTTATTAAACTTTAATGAACATTTAATGACAATAATACATTTTGTGAGGCAAAGAGGCAATGTGATAAATTAAAGACACATTATATTATGAGTCAGGAGACCAGAATTCAAAACTTTACTCTTCATCTCGGATTATCAGATTTCCCATCTGCCAAATGCAGGGAGTGTATATCGGGGATGACAGATAGAAGGTGCATATGTTGCCACACCCTGCTTCCTAATTCATGGCTGACATTACTAATCATTCATGGCATCCTTTTTCTCAGACTCTTTCCCAAAACAGTTTTCAAAGCAGCTATTACAGTCAGTCACAGTTGGCACCCAAGCTGAAATCTATTTGTCATCTTTGGATATGACAATCTGTAAAGACTTTCAGTTCTGACTCCCAGAAGTACACTGTCAGAAATTTGAAAACTGCCTGATTCAACATGGACTTCAGTCTTTCTGGTCTTTCTTTTCTCTAGACCCTAAGTGTACATCATGCAGGGTCCTGGCACATTGATCTGTTTATATTCCTGTGAATCTACCAACCTCCCTAGTCTTGACTTTGGGCTTCCTGGCACCCTTTTGTGTAATGCTTTTCCCAATGAAGTTGCCTTTCTTTACTCTCCCTTGATTGTTTGTGCATTCATACTAGCTCTTGGGTATGGAATCTCCTAACTTCCTAGCAGTCAAAACATCTTCCCCAGCCTGTATGTTGTTGAATGCAAAGAGTTTATGAACAGAGGAAGTTCATACCTGCTCCCTGACTGTTCCCAGCACTTGTCTAAGCATATTCCTTCTTATTGCCCTACTTCAGTTTCATAATTATTTGATCGCCCTCCTCCCTGATGATTAGTAACCAGGGTAGGTGCTTAAAGCTTTCATCTTCAGTTCTCTAACATGTACTTGTTTCTGAGTTTCTACACTGTCTATTTTGGCATTGTATATTTTATAATAGAAATAGTTTTGCTTGTCTACTTTATTACTGCTGTGTAATCCTACAAGTTATAAATTGTGCAATTGTTTTGAGTGGCAAAAAATGATGTATTCAAGCCTTTAGATGCCCTCAGCTCCTATTTTCAAAACTTGCGTCCTAGTATCAATTCAACACACCCTGGTTTGTCATCTTTGCTCTTAAGTCAGTAGGAAGGAATGCTGTGCTTCTAAGGTGGAAACCAATTTGATCCCTCAGTGTACATCTCAGTGGGATCATTTTACATCTCATTTTACTACTTAATACAACCAGGGCATTTAAAGGCAAAGTTTTGGCCATGAGTACCTTTGAGACAATATTTCTTTTTCTTTTACCTGGCAGTTGGAATCCAGGGTTAGGATTGTAGTTTCTAACTTTAATGAAGATGATTTTAAAGTAACTTTGCTGAAAGAGAATGAAAGAAAAGATGGTAATCTGTATTTACTGGTCACCTGCCATTATTTACTGGCAATAATTTATAAGGAGAATAAAAGCAGCACTTCATACCAAATGATTGAATAACACAGAGTATGTTGCAATCCCACCTACAGTAGTGAGCTTATCTTCCTGGAAAAGGGAGTGAGTGACCACAGGCCTCCCCCATGGTACAGCTGTTATGTCCCCAGTTGAGCTGGTCTAGATAACATCCTGCTGTGCACACTGAATGAACGCAGCGGCCCCAACTTTGCCAGACTGGTTCTGGCTCTTGCTAGCTCTCAGTGATTGGAATTATTGCAGAATAACCACCTGCCTCATAGAGTTTCGGAAATAAGAGATAAACTGGGAGGGCAGGAAATAATTTAAAACCAATCCAAGAATTTTCCAATAATTTTTTTGCTTGTCCTTAAAATGGGATAACAGAAGTCTGCCTCAAAGAATTAAATAATATGTGTAAATTGTTTGGCACAGGACCTTATAGAACTTGTAGGGCTTTGACAAATGGTTGATATTACTACTACTGTTTTACAAAACTAAGAAAAAAAAAGCTACACTATAGATCTTGTCTCAAGTGTCCATAAAATAAAGTTCATATTCTTTAGCATGACTCGTAAAGCCAATTTGCTTATGTGAGCAGCTTAATTTCCTGTGGCCAGTCTTTCGGCCCCCTGAACTGAAACCACAGTGAACTTTCCAGAGCGTCATACCCATGTTTTCTCTGCCTCAGAGTCACTCCCTCTAGAACATTTCTTCAGGATCTTGCTTAAATGCCCCAACTTTCCTGTGATGTCTCTTGTCCCTTCTTTCTGTGTACCCTAGAAGTATCCTGGTCCCATTTATAGCTCATCACCTTATACTGCTGTTAGTTGCTTACCACTCAAGTACCTCTGCTAGGTGTGAAGATCAGAAAATCAGAAATCATTCATTTCCAAATTCTCCTCTGGTGCTTGACACATAGTTGGTGCCCAAAAAGATTGATGAATCAATTGAACAAATATGAAGTACTGTGGATACTCAAAAATGAAAATTTTTTTAGTTATTAAACCTCATTTAGTTCATAGGAGTGAGGACCAGTGTTACCAGAGACATTTTACTTCTTCCTGGTTCATCTATAGAACACACTTGATATGATTCTTGAGAAATTTGATCTTGCCTTCTCGTTGTTCTTTCATTCCTCAGGTTCTAGTTACAGCGAACCTTTGCCATAACTTCTGAATTCTATTTGGGAAAATACTGGCCAGGAAAAAAAAATGATAAAGTTTTTCCTCATGGTGAATAAACAAGGGCAAACTCGACTTTCTAAGTATTATGAGCATGTAGAGATTAATAAGCGTACCCTTCTTGAAACTGAAGTCATCAAGAGCTGTCTCTCTCGATCCAATGAACAAGTAAGTTTCAACTCTTCTTTCTCTGCATTCAATTCACAGTGGCAGATCTGTTATTTCTTAGTCTCAAGGGCATTTTCTCTGAATTGCGTTCATTCAACAGCTATTAGGAAAAATAACAAATGAAGTGAAATGAAGACTGAAGCATAGCTCTCTTTACATCCCCTTAAGGAAAATAAAAACAAGGCGCCCGAGGACGAGTCTTCAGTTTCTTATTTAGGTCAGCACATTTAGTTGCAGTTCAGATTTACCCTGCTAACAGACATACCTTATTTTTTTGTTCATATGGATTCAGCCCTTAGAACTCTTAGGAGTACCTGTAGTAGGTGGCTGTCTTTAAGCCAAAAGATGAAAGTCAAATGACCAATACAGAGGTGAACACTTAAGACTCACTTTGTGCAAGAGGATAATAATATGATTCTCCTATGGAATGCAGTTTTTTTCTGCTTATCAGTTTTGTAAATTTTCTACCAACATAATACTGGAACTAGTTACTTAAAAACACATACAAAATGGCAAATCTATCCATTTTGCCAAAATTGAGATTAAATAAAATCATTAAAATAATAATAAATAGGAATTTTTTTAATGGAGTCTACTCCTACAAAGAACTTTAAAGAGTTTCTTAATCCAGGCCTTAAACTTTGAACTCACTGGAAATCTCTAAACAAACTACAGAAAAATCAGAAAGTTTGTTTCAATCACTCATTAATTTTGCCAATTCTCCATTTCACTGCATATGTAAAAAGGCTGCCTGTGGGAACCTCTGCTGTCTTAAAATACTAAACTACATCAGTGCCCAGAAGTTACACATTGGAACTGTTTCCCTTGGCTTCTAAGTTGATTTTCCAGTCTGTACATCTCAGAGACCTCAGTGGCCTGCCATGGCACGCACTACTTCATGTAGTTGTCAGAAGGAAACAGAAACTATTAAAGGGCGGTGCCAACTTTTAATAAACTATTAAAGTACATAGTCCATGTACTTTAAATAAAAGCAAACAAATTTCAGAAGCATTCCTATTTGACTTTCTGCAATATACAGGGACTTGACATTTTCAAACACCACTCTTACTGACCAGTTTGAAATGTATCTTTCCTTTGAATATATTTTCAAAAATATATTTATTATATTTTACAAAATATATATTTCTTTACAGTATATCCATTGGAATTAGTATACTGTTAGATATTTTTGAAGCACTTTAAATTATTTTAGATTTTAAAGGGAACTCACTGGGCTTTCAGCATTAATCAGGCACCAAAGTAACATAATCGCAGCTTAATTTGTATCTACAAAAGTACTTTGATACTTTTATCTTTTTTTTTTGTCAGAAACCCTGAGAGGCTTTGGATAATGTTCCTCAGTTCTTTCAAATAGGTTGTGTTTCCATGAAAGGTTCAACGAAGCAGAAATCTTACTAGCTCAACAGTGAGCCAAAAGCTACAGGATGATCCTGTACTTATTACCTTTATCCTAATTTTAAATGAAAACCTCAAATCCCTCCATTTTGTAGGTTGTCAAATGGCTTTCACATCAAAGAAATTCCATAATGAAAAGTTGCAGCTTCATTCCCAGGTGCATCCAGGCACCTGAGAGCACCATATCCCAGTGCAAAAAGCCATGCAGTTCATGCTCGGTCACATCTGATCAAGCACACCCAGAAGTCTCAGGAAGGGTAGCACTGTGCCTGCAGCCTGCCATCCAGTCCCTGTCCACCCAGTGCCTCCCTGCTCACCTCTGCACAAACCTAGGAGAGAGAGGAATGGGAGGGAGTTATGTATCCGTAGGTCAGTGCTAGTAGTCTAGTTATTAATTCATATGAAACTATGTTTACAGAGATTTTGTCCAGCATCTTTAAATAATTTGTAAAAGAGCCTACAATGATTCTTTTCATGAGGATAAGGAAATCAAGATGTTTTGTTTGGTTTGTTTTGCATGTGTGTATGCTATGCATATTTGGCTCTTCAGTGACCATTAAATACTACAAAACTGAATCTCTAATTGCTTCCAAAAGAGCCTAGGGGAGGTGGAAAGAAGGAAGTCTTCACATGTTGGCTTATTTTCATATTGGAGGCAATTAAAATGCTGATTATTATTTTTGCCTTCTGAGTTCCACACAGAGCCAAGCAATGAATGAGTATCAGGGAATGCGGACAGGTGGGGACTCATGTGAACACTCCAACTTTTTTCCAGGACCACTTTTCCACCTCCTGGTAGAGATGATTCCAAGTAGTCTCCTGAATATTGTGAGGAGGCAGCCAACAAAGATTGTGTAACGTTTTAATGTAGGATATTTCTAGGAATGTGTTGATAGATAGTCAAGTCAGAACCTAGCAGTTATGCATGTCATTTTGAAGGAATCCCTGTCAACCATAGGAATTAATATCTGTTTTGCCTAGTGCTCTTTCATTGAATACAAGGACTTTAAGCTGATCTATCGGCAGTATGCAGCTCTCTTCATTGTGGTTGGAGTTAATGACACTGAGGTAAGACAAAAGAAGAGCCTATGGAAAGTGCAAGAAAATCAGGGATAACAGTTTGTTTTTTTGTTTCTCTTTAAATTGTCATTTCCTCCCCAGTTGCCTTCCTAATAATTATTCTGACTGTTCTGAAGGATCATGGTTTCTATCAGGGCTGGGGAAAGCTTTGTGGAAGAGAAATACCTAGGATTTTTCTTGGATTACATGAGTAGTTTATGAAGTACCACAGAATGCCTTCCCTGACCCTCAGCAATACCAGCGTCCTGCCCTGCCATGTGTGGCACTGTGGTGCAGCTTAGACAGGTATAGAGAGGCCAGTTAAATGTAGGTTGATATATCAGAAGCCAGAGCAACTATAAGTATGACTGTGTTTTGACTATGTCTCCTCAGACTTAGTTCACCTTTTCAGAAATGTTAGCTCCAGGTCGACAGCACTTATGGCCATGAAAGGGTGTTTTAAGATCTAAAATACTTTGATATCTCAGTTGACTGTTTTTTGTCCATGAACCAAACTTTGAGGTGGTTTCCCCATCTTCACAGATAGAAAAATGATGACATGAAACATCTGTAAAATTGCTTTAGCCAGTTGGTGGTGCAGTCAGGGAATAGAACTCAGAACCCTGAATTTTAGACTCACTCCAGTTTCAATCAGCTAGATTCATCATGGACTTTAAAAAAAGTCTTAGAGGTTAAGATTTTCTACATTTCTCCTATTGGTAAGCTTCTTTCAAGCAAGTGAGTCATAGAACTATTCTGAATATTTGTCAGTGGGAAGCCACTTTGCTCCCATTATCTGTTTACCAAGCCACGTGCTATAAAACCTCATTGCAGAGTGGGCAGCTCCATGTCTGGTTTACACATGGGCCATACTAAAACTAACCTCACCCTTTTTTGTTTCAGAATGAGATGGCAATTTATGAATTCATCCATAACTTTGTGGAAGTTTTAGACGACTACTTCAGCCACGTGGTAAGTCTAATAACTAAAAAATGGTTTTCATCCTCAGCCTAATTTCCAAGAAATGAGTCTATATCAAGAACATGTATTAATATAGAGCTTCAACATGTAAAAGGTAAAATTCAGATGATGCCAGGTTTTCTTTGCCTTTCCTTCTGGCTCATCCAAAGTGTTACAAACCTACGTGTGAGTGAGATCTTTATTGAGAACCAGTTTTAGAAGACCAAGAACTTCTTATGTCTTTCTCTCAATTAAGAGATTTTGCTGTCTAACTTGCTCTCTCCATTCTGCTTCTCCTCCTAAGACATCAGGACCCTTTTCAGTCTAAGAATCACTTCTATCCAAACTGTTGCTTTGAGAGGCCAAACCCTTGAGAAATACATGAGTTTCTTTGCAATAGTCCTTTTTTTTGAACAGCTGTATTGGAATATGATTTACATACCATACAGCTCCCCCATTTAAAGTGTGTGGTTTTAGTACTTAGAGTTGTTCAACCCCACAGTCCTCAGATATCTCATTACCCCAAAAAGAAACACCATGCCCATTACTATTTCCCTCCTAATTATACCCCCCTGGCCCTATGTAAACACTAATCCACTTTCTGTATTTTTAGTTTCACCTGTTCTAGACATTTTATGTCAATGGAATTGTACAGTATGTGGTCTCTTGTAACTGGCTTTTTTTACTTTGCATGTTTTCAAGATTCATCCATGTTGTAGCACGCATCGGTACTCTTTCCTTTTCATTCCCAAACAGTATTCCTCTGTATGGATGTACTACATTTGTTTATCCATTGATCAGTTGATGGAATTTAGATTATTTATACTTTTTGGCTATAATGAATAATGATGCTCTGAACATATATGTACACATTTTTGTGTGTAATCATATTTTCAGTTCTTTTGGATATATACCTGGGATTGGAATTCCTAGATGATGTGGTAACTTCATGTTTAACACTGTGGTGAACTGCCAGACTTTTCATGTTTTTGGCCATCTGTATATCTTCTTTGGAGAAAAGTCTGTTCAGTGCCCACCTTTTGGTTGCATTATTTGTCTTTATTGTTGAGTTGTGAGAGCTCTTTATATATTCTGAATACAAATCTCTTCAAATATGATTTTAAAATATTTTCTCCAGACAAGTAATGACTCTATAGCATCTTACTATGCTGGTAGACAGTGATTGCAATGGGGTGTGAAGGGGGACTTGGTAATATGGGTGAATGTTGAAACCACAATGTTGCTCATGTCAAACCTTCATAAGATTGTACCTTAATTTTAAAAAAATCTGTTAAGAGGGAAAAAAAATTTCTCCCATTCAGTGGTTTTCTTTTCACTCTCTTGATGGTATCCTTTGAAGCACAATAGTTTTTAACTTTGATGAAGTTCAATTTATTTTTTCTTCTGTTGCTTATGTTTTTGGTGTTCCATCTAAAAAAGTTTGCCTAACCTAAGGTCATGAAGATTTACTCCTAAGTTTTCTTCTTAGAGTTTTATGGTTTTAGATCATACATTTAGGTCTTTGATCCATTTTTGAGTAATTTTTACATATGGTGTGAAGTAAAGGTCTAACTACATTCTCTTGCATGTGGATATCCAGCTGTCCCAACACTGTTTGATGAAAAGACTATGCTTTCCCCCATTGAATTGGCTTGGCACCCTTATCAAAAATCAATTGACCCTAAATGTAAGGGTTTAATTTTGGACTTTCAGCTCTAATCCAGTGATATGTATGTTTATGCTTCTGCCAGTACCACACTATCATCCAGATGATAGCTGAGCCTTGTAGTTACTTTTAAATTCAGCGGTCTTTGAAGAAACCATCAGTGAAGATGTTTTACTTTGCTACCATGGGCCTTCCTGAGCCTTGTTTAGACATTCTTGAGAAGAGTGACACAAGCTGCTTTTTCGAAGTTGTTTTCTGTATTTCACTTTGCTTTTAATAAAAGAATGGGCAAGAAACTGTTTCCAAGCTGCTTCTTCCTGAGACAGTGAGTGGCATCTGTTGCACAATTAGTAATACTGAGCACCCTAAAGCCTGCTTAGGGCAAAACTCATATTAAGAAGTTGTATCTTCAGCCTAACTCCTAACGCCAGAAGTAGTTTCACAAACTCCCTCTTCCTGGGACAGTCAGCTGGCCTGGGCGTGTGGTTCCTGAACTGGCAGCATAACATCACCCAGGGACTTGCAGAAATACAAATTCTGGGCTCACCGCAGACTATTGAATCAGAACCTCTGGGTTGAGGCCCAGCCATCTGTGTTTGAACAAGCCTTCCAGGTGATTCTGATGCGTGCTTGAATTTGAGAACCACTGCCTGGCCTGAGGCTTGCTGTCAGCTGTTTCCTAATTGAGGGTTTGGAGCTGGGAAGCTGCCTCATGGCCTGCGACATGGTTGTGCATCTAGCTGGGAAGCGATCGGTGCCCTGCAGAGCTGGCAGTGGGTAATAGGTGGGGCTATTCCGGAGACTAGCCTTGAGAGGACAGGGGACATTGAGGCTGTCTTTACAAATCTGTCTTTGTACTGATTGCTTGGAGAGAGCACTGTGGACCAGCACGGTCCAGCAGAACTTTATGCAGTAATAGAAATGTTCTATATGTGTGCTATCCAGTATGGTAGGCACTAGCCACATGTGGCTCTTGAACACTTGAAAGGTCATTAGTACAAATGAAGAATTGAATTTTTAATCTTATTGTTAATTAATTAAAGTTGCCACATGAGACTGGTGATTACCCCATTGCACAGCACAGCTGTAGCTCTTCTCTCCTGACGACCCCGTTCTTAAGCCAGGTTTTAGGTCAGGATCTGTGATTCAGAGCTGGCCGTGATTAGTCACTTTAAAGGAACACCTACCAAAAAGAATGCAATTCCCCAAAAGTGCAGTGTTTTAAACCTGGGAGCATAAAGACTAGGTGTGAGCACCATCATTGCTAAGGTTTTAAAATTATTATTATATTCAGTAACTGAGAATAAATAGTGGCTTGCTGATTTCTAGCTGTAATTCTAGAGAGTTACTGACCACATAAGCCACAGGACTAATGATTAGAATTTAACTTAAACCAGGTAATTATATAGGACTTGGACTACTAAGGGATGACCCGGTTTAAATGACAGAAGCAAAAAGAAAAGAGGAGGGAAAAGAGTACTATGGGAAAGCAAATAGAATCTGTCCTGCTCACGGCAAATGCCTTGTCATCTAAGGTTTATTTTGGGATTTGTGAGTTTTCAACATTCTTTCTGGGGCTATATTTTTAATATTAGAGTTTCAAAATCTTAAATTTTGAGATCAATCTCATGCTGTCTGGACTGAAAGAAGCATCTCAGTATGTTTCAAAACAACAAGCCACCTCAGGCACCTTCAAAGGAGGCAGCTTTGCAGGAGAGGCGAACTGTGGAGGAATTGGGTCTGCTTGTCAGTGCCGCACGGACGCCCCTTCAGCTAGTTTCCCCATCTACCTTCTTCTCCCTCTAGGACATTTTCATGACGTCAGTATCTATGTTCCTTGAAAAAAAATTGAAAACACAAATAAGCAAAAAGAAAGGGGAGAGGATCATTAGGAAGCCCTCACCATTTCTTTTTATGTTTTATGTATCTGTCTGTATCTAAGGAGATTTTCTCTCTCTCTCTCTCTAACATATATATATGGGATACTACTGTATATACCATGTTATAATTTGCTCTTTTGACACTATGCCAGATTAATGTATCCACATGATTTGTGAATCTGCTATAATTTATTTAACTTTGTCATTTTATTTAGCTTTGATATATATTAGCTTGTTTTCAATAATGCGCTAGTATAAACAACATTACCCTGAACATCCTTTCACACATTGTTCTGCTGTTATCTAATTATTTCCTTAGGATAAACTTCTAGAAGTAAAACTGATGGATTCATAGGGTATGCCCAGTATTAAGATTTTTGATACACACACCAAATTACCTGTATGTTCTAAAGATGAATTGTTCTGGTCTGTAAAATTCCTTTAAACTGCAGAGTATTTGTTTACAAGTCACAATCCCAAACTCAGGGCCTTCCTTCTCCTACATAAAGAGCTACCTCTCCTACCTGCTTCCAGGCTTGTGGCCAGAGCAGCCGTAAACTCTGCTAAGTGCCACTGTGTCCCAGTGTCTCATTCTCAACTTTGTACTCTTTTCTCTTTTCCAGAGTGAATTAGATGTATCCTTTTTCAATGCTGTGAGCCAAGTTTTCTGTAGTAGTTGGCAAAGCATGGGCTAGTTCTAATCAGGTGAGTGCCGTGGGGCAGGAAAACGATTGAAGAGAACCCAGAATGCTAACCATCAACAACTGCGACAGGCAGCCGGAGGTACAGGTGCTTTGCAGAAACACCCCTGCCTTCTATTTTAACAAAGATAATCTTAAGATTCTTGTATTTTTCAGACAGGGCAATGCTATGGTAGTAGTTAATAGTAACTTGTATATTAATTTAACTTTGTTTAAGCATATGGAATAAACCTTTTCAGAATTTAAATTGGAAAGTGCTTGGTCCTCCTAGAAGAGTGGATTTTCATGGCTCCAGATAAAAACCTCCAGAAGTTCCTCACATGACTAGAATAAGGCTTTCAGGGATAATAAACTGGAGGGCTAAAGAAATGCCTAGCTTGTATTCATTGCCTTTTATGGCAGAGAAGCTCTCCTTTTCTTCTTCCTTCCAAATCAAAGTATCCAAGGCTCCAACAGTAAGTGTGATTTGCTTAGAGTACTGCAGGCCCACACATTTTGGCATGAGCGCATCAGACTTTGTGTGAGTGCTTTAGAGGCAAGTTGACTTTTAATTTTTACTTCAAAAATCTTTTTACCAGTTGAAAGCAATAAATAAGAGTCCTTTGAAATAACATTAGGCTTGCATCTAAAATAGCAACATTACTTATAACAAATACATATTAATTATAACATGTTTATATGTATGAATACATTATATATACAATATATATTAATTGTATATTATATATACAATTATTACTATTATTATACACATCATACACATTTGAGAAAGAGAGACACATTAGACACCGATGCCGTGTATGCATTCTGGGAATATAGCCACTTATCTTTTATTCATTGATAGAAAATGTCATATTGATGAAATCATTTGTAGGCTGTATTTGGAAGCCTCTTAAAATTAACTGGGAAAATCTGAGTGCCCTCTAGTGGTTGCATGACCTAAATGTATGATCCCTTTGACCTAGGAGACCCCAGACCAGGCTGTATTAGGTGTTATTTTTATTCAGCATGTAACATTCCAGTTTAGTCCTTTAAACAACTCAGAATAAATTTCCTCCTCCTTGTACAAGAGAATAAGAAAGAAGCCTTCTGATTTAAAAAGTCATCAGAAAGATAGCAAAAGCTAATAGACACTGCACTGGGAGTCCAGAACCTAAGTCCCATTTTCAGTCCTGCCACCAACTAGCTGTGTGTCTTGGACAAGACGCACAACCCCCTCATCTCAAAATAACAGAATTAGATTAGAAGAGCTTCGCCATCCTTTCAGCCTAATATTTGATTACTTAGAGGTGCCATGACTCTAGGTAACTGAGTTGACTTACCTAATACCTAAAACAGGAAGGAGTCTTGACAGTCTAGATATTCAGACAAAGTGAATCAAATACAACAGAGTTAAGTATTATGGTTGGACTAGCTGTGTTGATGTGTCACTTACTGACTAGCTGTTGATTAGAAGTAAAGAAAGGTTTACTTATCTTTATGCTACCTGGTATATAGCATAGTTCCATGTTTTAATTTGATTTCCACACCAAGGCACACAATTTGTATCTTTTCCCCTCATTTTTGCCCTCCCTTCCTAACTTCATATGTATATGTACACATATATACACACACACACTGCCCTTCAGAATTACTTAGGCATATCCACCAGGTGGATTAGGAATTGTGCATAATTTAGAGAAGGGAACTAAATATATACTCTCAAGATCTGGATGTGTATGTCTTTGCTCTAGGTATAATTTCACATGGACCTCCAGTGGTCTAAAAATGGAGCAGGTGGCAGGGCACGCAGCGCGTGGGCCACCTCTCTTCAAATGATACCCCTATAGGGTTTCTATTCTCAGCCGTCCAAACAAAAATCAAAGTAAAACCCCGTGACTCTATTCCACCTCACACATACTTCTTTTTAGCTGTCGCGTGCCCACCAAGGATGTCCATATGGTGGTTCCATAGCAGCAAGACAGGGGAGCCTTTTAGAGGTGTAGCCTCAGGTTCCGGCTCCTGTTGGAAGGTCCACAGATGTTCTTTCTACTGCTCTGGTAGCATGACACCAGGATCCTGCTAGGGCAGCTGACGGTGCTCAGGTCTGCTCTGCCAGGAAAGCTTTCTTGGCCTTGAAAGGTTGAAAACAAGCAACTGATACAATTGCAACCTGGAGCTGGTTCTCCCAACACTCAGAGCAACACTGCTCTTTGGGTTTGCTCAGGCTTAAGAAAAGCCTTCCTCAGCAGCCTGCATGGAATGCACATGATTTAAGGTTCAGGTTACGGGCAGCAGTAGGATGGAGTCAAAACCTCATGAAATTCCCAAGAAGCCCTTTTCTTGCAGTCTTTTTCTCTAGAAGCTTTGTCATCCTGAAGCCTTTTGAGAATGGGGCAGTTTTCCAGAGCCTGCACAGTTAGACTTTGAGAAGTAAAGTGTACTACTTACATACAAACCCTAGTATGGACTTGTTCTAACATCATAGAGCAAGCGAAATGGGATTTTAATAAGAAATAAGAAACCAGGACAGAAATTCTGTTGAAAACCCTTCTAAGTGGGAACACTGCATTGCTGTAGAGCCAGGTGGGTGGATTGCACGTTTGGGACCAAGTGCATCAGTGACCTAAATCATTCATGTGCAGCGAATAAGCTCCTGTACACGCTTCCCATTCTATTGCACTGACTGGGCTGAAAGGCTGTCTGAGGACTCATGAGGCCCTGTTTCTAGAAGGAAAACTTGCCTTTGATACTTTGCCCTTACGTACTTTGGTAGACTTATTTAAGACTTCAAATTCCATGAATTAAATGGTTTTTTAGAACCAACTGATGAACTTCCCAAAATGTGCTCAGCTCTGGGGCCCCAGGTTGGCTGAACTTTCCAGACAACTTGTAATTCAAAGGAGCCATTTCCACCCACTTCTGCTAAATAGGCAGGGAATGGCACCAGTGAACAGCACTGTGGGAGAGATGTCCAACTTCTCCATTCAGTGCACCCACTGTATGTGTGAAGGTACAGAAAACCTTAACAGCCTTTTGGGTATTTGGTGCCTTAAAGAGACTTCAAGACTTGGTTTATTTAGGCTGGAATGGAAGGGAGCAGTGTACTGCCTTTAGACCCAGACAACCAGGGACCCTTTCCTGGGCCCTGTGAGTTAGAGGGCCCCACTGCAGCTCTCCTTCAGCAGCACGCCTCTCGCGGGGAGAGGATGCGTACCCAGAGCCTGCAGGGCTTCCCATGCACTTGACCAGCCTGTGGCTCCCTCAGCCCCCAGACATCCTGGAGCACACTGCTAGGGCCTGTGCATGGCTCCCCCAGCCCCCATCTGGGACTGGCGGCAAGAATGATGGAGAGGCTGGGATGGTGACTGAGGTATCTATTGAATGTACACGCATGGGAAGAAAAACAGGGAGCAGGCTGCTGTCCCTATTTATATTTTTGTGACTCTTCCTCCCACAAATATAGAATAGGCTTAGAATCCAAAATGTCTTAATTCAAAATTGTTTTAAAAATCTTCAGAACATTTATATTTTTATTTTAAAAGTCTTTAAAGCTCAAAAGCCTGAGCAATTAGTTTTAGAACCTTAAGGCCCACATGCATGATGTGAAAGTCCCTATTCATGCCCTCTTTATTGCAGTTGAGGAGGAGGTGGGGAAGGAAGGGCCTCTGCCCTGCTTGCACTCCCTCTGACACCACTAGCCACCTGCCATGGTGCTTCCTGGGGGAATGCAGATGCCCAGGCAGCCACAATCAGCACCAGCCTTTGCACTCAGGCCTTGATCAGGTCTCAGGGCGCACCATGCAGCATCTCCCCCTTCTTCCCTCCAGACTTTCCTGAAATCCCTAACACCTTGAGAGGGCTGTAAACCAGAACAGGGCCTCTCCAGGTATGAGATCATTTGAGCCTGATCTCATTAACAAGTAAATACTCAGCTAGGGTCTAGGAAATACTGTCAAGAACAAAAACCTTCTCTAGGAAAGCCATTCCAACTCAAGTGGAAGCTTCTCAGTGAACTGAAGTTTTCTCCATGTTCTCTCGGAAAGTTACAATAATTAAGTCATTACAGAAGGATTCCGAGGTATGATGGAGTAGTGTCTATATCAGAAATGGCTTGATACCAGCAGTAAGCTTGGCCTGCTTTCTGCTCCCTGAAGGATACTTTCAGAATCAGAAGGTCGGAGTACTTTGGAGCTGGAAGAAAACTACACAATCATTGGGTTAAAACCCCACATTCTAGATGATGAGGTCCAGAGAGGTTCTGAGGCATGCCCAATTCAGAGCTACTTCGGGGCAGAGCTGGTACCAAGCTCTGGGTGTCCAGGGCCCTTGACTTTAGGCTGTAAGTTAGATAAAAGATTAAAGTTGACATTTTTAAAAAAAATTAGTAACCATCTGGAGTAGACTGTGATAATTTAGTCTCTAACAAAATGTAAGTGCCTGTCACCATGCTGCCTTGGTGTTGTCAAAGCTTTTTCCTGAATTGAGAAAGAGTTTTTAGAGACACTGGGCTTTGGTAGGAAGAGTCAGAAATAATAAAACATCTTGAAGAAAATACCTGAATTCTTACTAAGACATACCAAAAGTGGAGTTCATATTCAGAGATTTCTAGACAGCTTTTTTTTCCTTTTGAAAACCTGTCACTTGAAAGCAGGGCTGTGCAGGGGGCGAGAGCTGGCCCGTGGGCCTGAGGGGTGCAGGGTGGGGCCCCCAGCGTGACCATTCTCGTCAGTGCTGTCCCGAGTGGTGGGTCTCCGAGTTAGGAAGGACCCCCAGGGGAGGTGGCCATTCACCTGGGAGAGGGATGTGAACGCTCCAGATTAAACCGTCCTGCCTTCCAGGGATTTTGGCTTAACTAGCCTTAGCCACCTCTGTATCCTTTAGGTGTCCTTTGAACAGGTCTCTGAGTCCTGTGGGTGACACATCCATCTGCCACTATTCCTCCTCACCAGTCCCTCTGCCTTACCCCACTCCTTCTGTTCCAGGCTTCTGGGATCTGTTTTACTCAGGAAAAGTGACAGCAAATTATGGGAAGCAAGAGTTAGGAAAAAAACTAAAGAGAAATGACAAGCTCATTTGACTAGGCGCCAGCTTTCACACTTGAGTAATTTTACATAAGCCTGTATATAAACTTCAAAAAAATTACACCTGGATGTCTTGTTGCTCTCAGAATATGAATGGGTCTTTAAGAAAAACCTACTTAAGAAAATAAAAAGACATTCCTTTTCAGTGGCCCAATTAACAAGAGACAGTGCTAAGCCTAAGAGTGAACAGAAGACTGCATTACCAGAGAGCGTATCCAGGACTACACAGAATCTTCATGACGATAGCCTTCTATTTTTTGTGGGCAATGTACACACAGTACACTCCCTTCGTAGCTTATCTATAGGAAATTAAGGTATAAATAATGACAGCAAGCTTTTTCCCATTGTGCATAGCATTTTAACAGAACTTTGCTTAGCTAGGATCTTTAAAAGAAATCAAATAAGAAGATAAGGGATCTAGAGATCAAAATCTGGAGTTATAAATATTAGTTGCTAGGCTGTGCTCTGCCTTGGAATTGTTTTTGAGGTCCCATTTGAATGTACACTGCTTAGTTTTCTCTTACTAAAGGATAACTAGACCACTACAGTGGTGGTAAAATACCATGCCAAAAAAGTGCCTTATGATCCAGAGATCAAAATTCCAATGTAGGAACAAGGGTCATTTCAATCACTTTTATTAAAAAATTGATTTAAACTGTCACTTATATTACTGGGGCCCTAAGATATTCCACTCCAATCCAATCCACATTACATAGAAATTCAGGAAGGCTCTTAGATTTCAGGATTGGGAAAAAGTGGGGCTTTATGAAGCTGCTCTTTGGGAGGCTGTTGTAGTCTTACCAGCTCCAACCTTAGTGTGTCCATGAGGGGAAACAAGTTGCCTTAAAGATCTTTAAGTGTCAAGTTCAGTATAACCTGAAGGCCTAGGGAGGGCCCTGTAGTCATTCTCAGCCCACTATGTTAATGGGCCAACAGCCAGGCCCTTCTTCCTTTGTCCTATTTCCAAATGTCAGGGTTAAAGTGTATTTGCTTATGTTTACTGCCATGGGGTTTGGCACATGAGGTATTTTTTGGTCCCTCCCCATTTGACATATTAGCCCAAATGCCTGGCTTACTCTGGGCTTTGCCAGTATGCACTTAATATGCCAAATCAAGATGTGAACAACAGCTGTATTCTTATTTTAAAGGAATCACATGATTCCAGCTTTTGCCTCACATTAGATTTGGTCTGTGGTTTCCCTGTATAGTGCCAGAAAGCTGTATGATTATTAAGGGTTTGGGCCACTCATACAATGTGACAGGCAGTCACATGCTCACAGAACAAAATGACCTCAGTGAGCAGTTCATGTCTTGAGAATGTTAGGAAATTCAGAGTTGGTGAAGGACCTGTCCTTGCACCACGAGAATGTCAGTGTTGATGTGATATGATTCAGCATTAATTTGAAACTGAATTTCAGAACAATGGTGGGTTGCTCAAGGAGACATCTGAATTGTAGATCATCTACTTGCCAAAGATGGAATGGGTAGGTCATCAGAGCGGCTTGATCCCTGAGCCAATGCCAATATGTGAGATTAAAGTTAGACCCCCTCTGTCCTCAAGAAAACCGTTTCGGATGAGTTGACATTTTCAAAGGCACTGTGGCTCTCACTGCCGTTAGCGATTACAGCAGAGGGACTCTGCAGGCCATTAGTTTGCAGCCACCTGTGGTGCCCAACTCTGCCTTTCCTTGTGCTTGACTTTCATTCCACTCTGCCTTAGCTTCAGTTACGGCTTCTGGGTCTGGTGAACAAGACTGAGTCAGGGGACTAATATTCCAGTCCTGGTTTGCTCATGGACAAAGCAATCATCTATATAATTGGAAGACATTATTAATAGATGTATCAGAGTAAAGTTTTTTTTTCTGGGTCACTTAAGGACAGTTCCCATAGGTGCCTGAAAAACAGTTTATTCTGCTAGAGAACTATTTGCATGGAACTTAATGAGATATTAATGCAGAGCCTAATAGAAACTTAAAAAGTCCTTCACAGGGTTGTCTCATTATAGATGCACTTTGCTAAACAAGTATAGACTTAAACATCTGGAAGTATAAGAAAAAAATCAAGTGGTAACAAGTCACTTTACATAAATTCACTATTCAGTTAAGGACTTCCCTAGTGCATTTAACCACTTATTTTGAACAAAGTTTGTCTATTTGAAATGATCTGTCAGCTGTTTTTCTAGACCAGGACCATGCTCTTAAAGCAGAGATGGAAACTGAAGATATTAAATGGAAGATGGTAACAGAAACATTCAACTGTTATCATCTCATTCCAGTTCACTCTCTCCTTTCACAAAGTTAGGTACTCAAATGAAGGGGCTCCAAGAGGAAGGGTTTGGCTCTAATTAGCTAGACAACATATCTTCACATTTTCTTCTTCCTCTATGCCCTATACCAACTTCCCAGTAAGAACATCAGTAATCTAAAGTGGCCCCATAATTCTCAGAGTATTTTTTGAGCTGTTCATTTATAAGAGGTATTCCTAAATTTCACAATTTTTATCTGTTTGCCAATTGAGTCAGCATTGCCCTGCCTTCTTCATTCATTTCTCCTCAGGGGTGTTTTTTCCTCAGCCTGGGTATTTATTTCTTCAGCCATGGGTATTAGCTTTAGATGTAAAAAGCACTTGTTTTGGGTAGAGGTTTGAGGGCTGAGGGAAGGTATAGTCAGTTGCCTCAAGCCCCTCCTGGGAAGTCAGGAAGCAGATCAGCCAAGCCCAAGCCTTGGGCTTAAATTCCAGCCGCCCCCCCTCCCCATTACTAGCCATGTGACCTTGGACAATGACTTTGAGCCTATTGGCTCCTGCGTTAAATGATAATATGTAACATGTACATGATAGAGTTGTAGAGAACACTGAAATAATACATGTAAAATACTTAACGCAGTGCCTGAAAAATAACGAGTATCCAGTAAGTCGAGGCCATTACTGTTGTTATTGTCTAGGGAGACAACATTATTCCGGAGGTCACCTCGGCCATGCTCTTGCCAACTGTCATCTTCTTTGTTCTCCAGCTCTTAGTACATTCATTCTCCCTCTGGCTCCAAGGTGTAACTGTCCCATTTATATGCATATTGTCCAGTTAGGGTAAAACTAGGTGTCTATGTGTAAATGAAGGTAGTAATTTCTAATATGGACACCAATTTTAAATTTAATTCCAGAAATTCTGCATACAAACAAAATCCCCTTCATATTTAGACTAATTTACACTGGAAAAAAATATAAGCTAAATCATAAATTATTACTTATAGAATGTTAACATTTTTTAACTGTATAATTTCCTTAATATGACCCTAGATAATGTTTAATTTGGATAAAGTACATATCATTTTGGATGAGATGGTGTTAAATGGCTGCATTGTGGAAACAAATCGGGCAAGGATTCTTGCCCCTCTACTAATTCTTGACAAGATGACAGAAAGCTGAACCATGGAAGGCTCTGCCGAACAACATTGACCTGAAGGACATGAGAACACCATGGGGATACCTCTCGATGTCTGCAGCACAAAGGAATCTGGAAAAGCACACATTATAAAATAAAACATCCTTCCAAAGACATTTTAAATAGGTGTTTTCACAGTTCCTAAATGAAAAACAAAGCTGTATCTTAAAATGTCATGTAGCAAAGAAAAACTTTCTTTAAACTGAGTTGTTTTATTTTCTAAACAAATGCATTTTTTCCCCTCTTGTTTAAATTAAAGGAAACTTCTTTAGTTCTTTGCTTCCCTGTACAAATTAAATTCAGGAATAGCAGCATGGAAAAAAGTGTGACAGCTCTCAATCAGCCAATAAAATTTTTAAATTGACTTCAACACACAGCACTTTGAATAATACTTTTTTCTGAATGTTATCTTTTTCCTTAAAAGGTCATAAGAGTCAGAACTTTACTAAATTGTGTACTTAAGGAAAATTGCAGAATTAAATTTTATTTGCCAATTCCTAAAAGCCTAATACCCATTTTATGTGTGCTTGGCAATCATGATGCCATCATGTAATTAACAGTATAGAGAATGTTACTACCAAATAATGGTTAAACATTAAAAGAGCCCTTACAATTATCCTTTATGCCATATAGTAAAGGATTTGTCTTATTAACTTATTTGTAAATGAAATTTAGTTAAAAGTTTAGAAATAGAATGCAAGAGAATACCTCTGTTCAGGTTGGCATGAACTGAATCCTTCTCCCCTCCCCAGGTCTTATTCCTTCAATCCCTTCTCCTGGAATGTCTTGAAGCAAAGAGAATGGCTAAGTCATTATAGAAGAGCAGTGCCCTGCTCCTCCCAAGCCTTTTCTTATGCTTTTGCTGGTCGGTGAACAGTAAAATATACAGTACTGTCTTAGGTAAAAAGCAGTTTGTGTGCATACAGGGAGGGGTAGGAGGGCAGGTACAGTGGAGGAAATATAAATATAGTCCTGGTACATTAATACTGTGCCATCCTGTGGAATGCCAAGAGTTTCTTTCACGTGCAACACTCTATCCTCCAGAAAATAAGTGGACATTCTAGGCACTGATAATTCATTCAGTACTGTTTTTCTTTTTTCTCATGTGTGTGAAGGGAGGATTTTATTTAAATTCTTCATCTGTTTCTAAAAATCTGCTTATATATTCTAAAGTTTGCATCTATAAAAACCCAGGCAACTAGTCAGTATGAACTCCAGAAGCAAACCTCCGTTCTGATTCTTCCAGGAAGGCTCTGATCTCCTGGGACAGTGAATGGTACGTGTATAAGGGTCTTCTTTTGAGTTCAGTAGCCAAGATTTGGGCAAAGCCTACTGTAGATCAAAGTGCTTTGGAGGTCTTTCTGAGACACATTAGTTGGGAAACACTGTCCTAGTTGGGAGGCACTTAATGAGTAGCACATCAGGTAACTGCTGAAACTGGTACACCAGCAGCAACTGGGGAGTGAACAAAATTAATATTTGGGTCACACCAAAATAGCATTTGAATAACATCCTGGCACAGATTTTTAGTACCTTGAGAGAATAATAAAAAGTACTAGGTAGATACCACGGGAAAAAATACTTAAGAACCTGGTATATGTGGAGCCCCTACTATATGTCTCCCAACACTTGACTCGAGCAGAATGAACTCTGTTCTTACAGTCTGTCATCTCACCTCAGGTTTGTTGCAGAACTGACTGCCAGCTTTAAGTGACTTTTGTGAAACTTCTGTCTCAGATTGGTCAGTTTTACCTTGTTCTTAGACTTTTCTTTCTGTAGGAAGACTCCTGACATCTCAGCTAGATTGTGTACGACTTAATTTTACCGTGGTAGCAATGCGCCAGACCAGGACTCAGCAAACCTTTTCTGTAAAGGACCAGATAGGAAGTAAAATGCTTTGTGGGCCATATGGTCTGTGCTGTTAACTACTCAGTTCTGCCACCTTAGTGCAAAAACAGCCACGGATAATACATCAATGAATTAGTGTGGCTGTATTCTGCTAGAACTTTATTTTTTCATGAACACTGAAGCTTGAATTTCATAAAACTTTCACATCATAAAATACTATTCTTCTTTTGATTTTTTTCAACCACTTAAAAATTTTAAGACCATGCTTAATGTAGCCCATGGGCCATACAACAAGAAAGCGGCAAGCCAGTTTGCTGACCCCTGTGCTAGTCTTTGTAAAGTTGGCTACTAACAGACATTTTAGAGACTTAAATGATGACTATACAAATAAACTGGATTTTAATTCTAATACTAGTAATAAAGTCTCAGTCATGCATCCATGTCTCTACTTTATTGAGAAAATCACCACTACTATTTTTTGGATTAAAGCGTAAGTCATACATTTAAATATTGCTATTTTATTTTAACTTTTATTCTCACAGAAAACTGTGAAGGTAACAGTAAGGTAAATTATTTAAATGCTGCCTCTGATTCCATAATCACAACATGCAGAGAATAAAAACAGTACTGAAATGAATAACTATAGGGGGAGAGAGCTCTTCTAATGTAGAAAGGGAATGTACCTTTTAAACAGGTAAATAATGGGCAATTTCAAAAAAATGCTTTCCACTCCTAAAAGCCATTTGGCTAAATCAGGCTTAGCCACATTTCTTTCACTTAAATGCAGAGATGTGATATATCATAGGAATTTGGAAATGGAAACAGAGCCCCTTCTTCAAAACCAGGAAATAGTGGTTGCCTGGTGGTTTCATGCTAACACAACATTCAAAACTCATTCTTGGATCTTGGACTTATATATCCCTACATATACAATGGTAAGTGGCAGATCTTGTGTTTAAAAGGCTAACACAAATAACTTGGCCATTTTTAACTGACAAATAGTTTAAAATAGAACACAACAGTTGGATCTCAAATAAGCAGGTGAACATATATTTTCTTCTAGGTTTCCAGTTTCAGTAAGTATATTTACTATAGAAAAATACATTTCTTCATGTAATAATTTCAAAAAACTAAATATCATGATTCAAAATGAATAAAGTATCTAGTTTAGCTCTTAGGTCTCATGGTTGCAGTGAAACAGTCACATGACACAGGCTCATACGTTGCAAACATTTTAATGATTATTATTGAGCATACATTTTGGAAAATTTTTACTTCAAACTGCAACAAGTTAAATAAATGTTTATAATATACAAAGAAAATACAACCAAAAGTAAAACTTGCTTTAAGTGTGCCTTGCATCTAGACCAGTGTTTTTCCCCCCCGTAATATATCTTTATCTTTGAGCTGCACAAACACACTTAAGAATTTGATCTTTATAGTATGGCATTTAGGAAATAAAAATATACTCCCACCTCAAAGAAATAAAAAGGTTGTGCATGATTATATGCCAAACAAAAGAGAGAACACTAGAATACTCTAATAGTGCAGGCATCATTAAAAAGCAAACAAAAAAGCTTGAGATGCTCATTAACTCTATGTTTTAAGGAAGCAGGATTTCTGACCAAGTAGCTTAAAAGCCAGCAAAACAGGGATCAGTGATGGCAGCTGTAGTGTATGAAGTATGAAACAACAAACTTTACACAAATACACTGTTAGAAATTTGCCAGCAAACACTGAAGATCTGAGAAGCTGCTCCTTGGAACAGCCAAGTAGGACCACCTTGTTCCAGTCACCTAAGCCCTTGTAGGAACACACAGTGCTCTGTGCTACACACTCGCTGGCTGGGTAAAGGATTTCTTTTGTCACTAGCAGCTAACAAACTTATTCCACATGTTCTGAAGAGCCTTACTGGTGGAAAAAAGGCAAGTGTCGTTAGCGTGGACACAAACACAAGAGGCTTCACTAGTACTTTTAAAGTCTGATGTCTCCCATTACACTTCAAAGCTCAGTTGAGATGAAAGCCTTTCTCCATTGTAGCAGCTAGCAGGCGCTCTCTCATGATCTCCTCTGAGGAGTATTCAGGCAACTTCAGATAATGCACGCATGTGTTCACTGATGGATAGCTTGCATCAGTAGCATCAACCTATAGAAAGAAAAGAAAAATTAACAAAATATCATGACTTTAAATACTTCTTTCTTTCAATCTTTAAGCTACTAAGTTCCACTTGGACTGCCCATTAACTAGTTTGTACCTTGCGTACAACCGTGAGCCTGGGATGTAGGTTAGCCAGTCCTCCTGGGGGGAGAGTTGAACAACCAGTGGTGAACTGTAGGAATGCTTTCCTTTCATCTGAAGACATGCCACATAAAACCCGCACAAACCTCAGGAAACCAGGGCTGAAAGAAGAAGAGTTACACTGATCTGACAGTTGATTTAAATGAAAAAGACTGCCACTACTATGTAAGCCAACAATAAACCAAAAAACCAAATACCCACATACCAGAACAGTACGACCAAGAGACTCTTGGGTAAGCGTGAAATGAGCTGATACAAGCTACTTTAAAAATGCCCCTCAAAGACTGTCTTGTACTTATAAATGTTAAGAACTAAAAAACTGATGGAGTATGGGGATCAAATATGTAACAAAGCCAACATGTCAGAAAAGCTCAAGGTGCACTTATATAACTCATCCAAAAATGGCTAAATTACTAAAAGGGATCTGAAATAATCTATTTTCACTACAGCAAAATAAACTACCACCATATGCCACACATGGATGAACTTCATAATCATAATGTTAAAACAGAAGCCAAACTTTAAAAGAATATAGACTATATGATTTCATTTATTAAAGTTCAAAAGCAAGCAAAATTAATAGGAATAGTGACTTAATGACTAGAAAAGAATATGACAGGGAAGGGGACTTCTGGAGCTGTTTCGTGTTCATTTTGTGAAAATTCTCCAGGCTGTACATGTAATTTGTGTGCTTCTCTGTTATACACTGATAAAAAGTTTATTAAAAAAAACAATTCACAATACTCTCTCATTTATATTAATTTGGGAACTTTTTGGAAAAAGTAATATAGGAATTGCAGTCTTAAAAACTGTCAGTGGTATAAAAAGAAAAACAGCTGAACTGTTCCAGACTAAAAACATATCACAACTTAAAGCAACAAAAAATACTTATCACAACTAAATGTAATTTCCCAATACAAGGGTAAGGGGAGCATTATTAAAAACCTGAATCATCAACAAAAAGGAATATGGACTACAGATTAGCTAACAGTATAGCATCATGAAATTGCTAGCTAATGTGGATTTGTAGATATATTCCTGAGAAAATACGTATTTTTCTCAGGAAATATACATTATAGTATTACAGAGTAAAGGCAATACACTAAAGTATTATAGAATAAAGGTATATGATCTAAGCAACATATTCTCAAATGGTTCAGAAAAGAAACAGTGCACCTGGGTGTGTATATAGATAAATACACACATGTAGGTATACATATAAACATG